TGATTCTCTCTGGCATGAAGGGCAGTCAGTGTGGGTTGTGAAGTTCTTAAAAGTGTGGTTGGGGAGAAGAGATCGATGTATTCTACTGTCTGTTTCACATGTCTAGACAGCTGTTGCTTGTCTGCAGCATTCTGAAAGGTTTCATCGAATTCCCACCTGTCATTAATGACACTGTCGGAATCTAGCTTATGAGCAAATGATTCCCAACCTTCTTTTTCACTGAATACTGTTGTGTTTTTGCCAGATGAGGGTTTTTGTTTTGATAGTGGAAGGGAAACAAGGTTGGGAAGAGCTGTTAAGTCATAAGAGCCTAAATTTCCTTGCAAGTCTTTCATTTCTAGGGAGGCAGATAACTCAAAAAATTGTAGTGTGGTTGGTTTCCCGCCTGATATCTGCCTCGTTGTAATGAAAAGTAATTTTCCACATCATCCTGACACATTGTTTTGGGTATAATGTGTATTTCTGGATGGTGCATCTGCACATACTGGACAACGCCCAGAAAAGCCCGAATGGTTCTTTTGAGATCTTTATACGTTATTCTTGGTATAAATTGCTTCCAGTGGTCTTTGAAACTGTTGGTTGATTGCAAACTATATTGTTTCACCTCCTTGTACCAGGTGTCAAACCACATCATAATAGATATCAATTGTTTATAGCTTTTAGGATCAACTTCTGTATTGTTAAAGATTTGAAACAATTTGTGGCATTGCTTTAGGCATGTCCGGGTTCCAACTGTATCTTCTGGTGGTAATGGTCCCTTTAGTATGTCTAATGCCACATCAAGAGAACACACAGTAACAGCTCTCCTAACACTCATTTTTGTTCGGGGTGTTAATTTAAATGTTTCCAGTTCAACTTTGTCATACGCCGTTGAGCAACAGGTATCAAATGGTTAACTGTTACATTTTTTTCCCTGTACTTGAAGATGACCATCAGGATTAACTAAAAAATTTCTTAGTTTTTTAAGCATATGGGGGTAATCAGAAAGCCACCAAATTGGTTTGTTGTCATTAAATGGATTGTAAGTCACCCAATTCTGTGCCCCACTCCTACTAAAGAAAGCATGAGAGTATGTTGAGCCATCAGAACACCATAGAGAACCTCTCTTTTTTTCCCACTGTCTAATTGAAGACCACCTGTTGACTCACAGACTTGCCAAACTAGGGTAGAAAGAATGCTGTGATTGATTTTCTTTAAGGGAAAGGAAGCAACTGGCCAAGCAAAGTCCCCTTGTAATGATGAAAAAATGAACTGACAAACAAGTTTGGCTTTTTTTGATGACTGAGATTCTTTAACATCAAGTAATGGAGCTTCAGAACTGGAATCATATTCCTGTTCAGATGCACCAGAAAACTGGGAATCTGATGACTCAGAGGAACTGTCACTGTCATCTTGTTCATCATCATTAAGATTTTCAGGCTCTGTGGTGAGTTCAGGACTGATATTTAAGTCCTCCAATCCAACCAATTCTCCCGTCCGTTTACACAGTACAATCCCTTCCTTTATTGCCATTTTATCCCAGTGAATACCTCCAATACCCTTACAACCTCTTCTGGTCATTTCTTGAACCATGAGTGTTAAATTATCCTGGGAGATTGGGCTTGTTGTACTTGTTGCCTGCCGATATTGTTTGATGGTTTCCCAGGACGGAATTGGAAGAATGCTTCGGACTACCTCATAACCTTTTTTTGTGACATTTGCTTGCTATCATGCAGCTCCACCACAAGAGGGTTATATCTCATACCTTTAGGGTGGGCCTTTTGCTTATTTTTGGTAAGTTTTCCTTGCTTTGCAAATTCCTCCTCCTGTTTCTCCAGTGAGGTTAAAGTGTCAGTAAGTAGAGCATAGAGAACAGAATTTTCAACAAGCCAATGATTTTCAATGGCAATATCCATTAGTTTAGCAAGGTCAGATGATTTGGGTTGAAAATTTTTGGGTGCTTTCACATTTTTTTGTTTCTCTTTTAGGTACAAACTGTAATATCGTTTTGCTTTTTTTTGGCTTTGGGCAACCACTTTGTGTAGATTTTTTGCTCTGGCTATGAGTTCAGCACGTGAAAGAGTACTGAGTTTAGTGTGTGAGTCATAGGCTGTTTTAGACTCAAATGATTCAGATGAAGGTTTTGTTTTCCAACGAAAGCAAGATCGTAAAATATCTTGACATTTGTGGCATCTGGTTTTTGAATGGACAGGTAGTTTGTAGGTGCAATTTAAGCTCCTAATGCACTTGACAATCTCTCCATCTACATTTGCTCCTTTTCCATCCACAAAGTATAAATTTGTTTCCCTTTTTCTTTCAGCTATATCAACAAGGGCTGGATCATATATACCTGGACAAACCGGTAAGTTTTCAATAGTTTTAAGCATAACACCCAAAGCAGAGTTTAATATGTTTTCTTGAAAAATATTGTGTGGTAGTTCCCCATGGTCAATTTTGTTACCCAAGAATTCTACTGTAAATGGACTAAAATCCTTTGAAGGAAATGTTTTTATTTCGGAAGGAAAAAAAAGGGTTAACTCCTTCCACTTCGTTATTACACCACCTTTTCCACTATTTGGAAGAGAAAAAGTAACCTTCATGGTATTATCTGTAGTGTGCTGAGTAAATGACAGTGTCCATGGAAAAATACATGAAATAACTCCTTGAAAAACTGTATAAACTGGCAGAGGTGATGACTGTACTTCACTGTCATTTCCTGCATCTACTGGTTCTTTTGGAGCAGTTTGTGTCATTATTTCATTCAACACATCTGTAAAAATACCTGCTTTACAGTTTAAAGCATCAGACACAGCAAATTCTCTATCCAAGACCATTTTTTCTGATAGCACAGTGGCTTGTCCTTTAGTTGGATTAATAGTTGTTTCTTCAAAAAACTCATGCTTGTTGCTGTCATTATCGGTCGTTATTGTGGAAATTGAACAACCTTGTTTTTGGTGGAAGATGTTTTGAGCTTCTTTGTACTCATGCTCTATTTTAATGGATTTTAAATAGAAAGGCTGACATGACATGCATATGTAGTCTGGAAAAGTTCCATCACAAGGATCTACACTATACAAGTCATTATGTAAATCAGTCTTATTGCCAGTTCTTTCATCCAAAAAATTGCATCCCACTGAAAACGTATTTTTAAAAATATTTATGTGGTGTTTCTTGCAGGGAACATCACTACTCAGGCAAACCTTGTTGCCACATTGTGAACAAGTCACTATACATGGTGTAACTTTCAGGATGCCCAGCTGGGCATCGCTGCGTGATCTAGTGGAGCTTTTCCCCTTAGGAGGCTTATGCCCTCTTGCTGATAAACTGCCGTAATGTTTATCACATACCCTAAGATCTTTGAGATTTTCAGGTGTAACATCATCAGGGGCACATTTCAGTTCATACCGCCCAACCATACTATCAAATTTTCTTGATCCTGCCTCATTCTCACATCCCTTCAGACAGCATTGTACACCTCCCATCAATCGGCCATGCATAAAAACTGTTCCTCTTATTTCTTCCAAAAGTAAAAAATCAAATAAAGGCTTTCCACAGCATGACAACCAGTACAAATCACTTGTTATTCTGAATTTAGTATTTATTTGAGATCTTAGATCTTTTATTGTGGCATATGGTGCAAAAGTCAGGGTGTGTGGCTTGCCTGTTATATCTACAATTTGAATTGTTGTTATTAACCTTTTAGATCTTATCAACATGCTAAAAAGGAAACCAGGGTGGTGTAATTCAAGCAGTCTGGCACAGGGATAACTTAAAAGTACACCAAATGAGAGATATAAAATTGGAAAAAGGAGTGGCATTTCTGTACAGGATCTGGAACTGGCATCAAAGGTCTCCCCAAATATAATAATAGTAACAACATATAAACCCACAAAGAATGAAAATGGTAGTGCAGAAATTATCAGCAAAAAAGCAGCAGTTGCCAAGTAAACAGGATATTGAAGTTCACAGTTTAAAGAACAATTTTTTGTAATACTAAGGTTCAGTAAAAAGCCATGAGAAACAAAAAGGCACACGGTCATTAGACAGGAGAAAAAAAGCTGTGATTTTAATCTCCAGAAATATTGTACCAGTGAAAAGTTGAATTGGGGCTTTACATGTAACAAAATTTTGTAAACTGGATCAAGCAAAGATAGAAATAATTTCAAGGTAATAACAGCAGGGAATAGAAGTATTTCTAACAAACAATTTAAAGTTGATCTATACTTAATCATTTGCTTTAAAGACACCATGCACAATACTTTCCTGTAAAACAAAAACGTCAGTGTAAAAAGAATGGTGGTTAAGGCTAAAAGGGAAACAAGAAAGTTTGAGAGGTTGAAGTTTTGAATTACCTTCCCTTTGAAGTGGATAATAAAAAAGGACAAAACAGAGGAGACCAACATTTTTACTACATGCAAAGTTTTACTTTGTAACTCAAAGGAGTGAGGGATTTGTGTCTCCAAAAAAGATGGGGGCTTTGAAGGGATGTAGAGGGCACATGGAAGGTTTGAAAGGCCTGGGAAAGATATTGCAACCATTGCAAAAACAATATGGACACGCACAACAGCCATCACAAGATACACAATCTTATGATTGTGAGGACTAAAAAGCCAAGCAATGTCAAAATATAAATCATACAACAAGAAGCCCATTGTCAAATATATACACAATAAAATATTTTTATTCATCATGATGTTTTCTTCTTCTAAAGTAAATAATTATAGATATATATTATATAAATATGATCTTACTTTATTAATTTTCACACTAAGTAATTTTTCCTTTTTAAAATAATATAACTTCTTAAATTAAGCTATGTACTTTTTATTTAAAATATTTTTTTCTGTCTCTTTTATATGTCTTTAATATTATTATTATTGTTTTTTTCCCAAGTAATAGTCACACTAAATTAATTAAAAGAATAATCTTTTTAAAAGGTAAATACAGAAGCCAACGACAATGCTAACAAGCAACAACAACAATGACACAGGCAAGTAAAATACGGGGAAAAAGCCAACAAAAAACTGCAGACAAATGCAAATAGCAAATTTTACCAACAATAACAAAACAGAATAAAACAACCAACAGCAGTAAAGGCCAGCAATTACTTTGATCAAAACAGAGGGGCACCAGATTAACCAGCAAACCTTAGACACAAGCAGTAAACAAGCAAGCAAACTTAACACACAATGACAGCATTAAAGTCTGCAAAATTTACCCCAGACAGTCAAGAAGCCAAGAAACCACACGCGATTCAACACAGTATCTTCACATTCAAAAGGATTGATGAGCAAAATGGCTCGTTACATCAACACAAATCAACTATCGTATCAAGCTTCTGTTATTAATGAATTAAATCTCCTCTTCTGAGGAGATTTGGTTGGCAATTTAAAGAGAAAACGGCTGACGTTTAGGGTGGATTTGTCTAGTTCCGAGTTCAAAATGGCGCCCACGCCACTGACCCGAAGTGGATTGGAGTAGAATTTAACACAAACGTGCGGACAAAGCAAACACAGCTTTTACACACAAACAATATAAGCAACAAAGCTTGCACACTTATGACAAATTGTTTTACCAATGCTGAACAAAAGCCTGTACTAGCCCTTTCTTTGTTTAACTTCGATGGCTTCTCCACGCTAAACCGATCAAGCGACGCGAAGCTCTGACTCGTTGCTATATGACGTCACACTTTCATGATGACTCGGTCACAGAGAAATACCCGAAAACAATAGAGACGCCTCCTCCCTCTTGTCAAAGATCAAAGAGTTAAGAGAAATAAATACCTTGTCCACTGAACATTTTTAGGCTGCCATGTCTTCTGAGCATGTGTGGTATGTGGTGGATTAGTATGTGCACGTTCGGTGTGATGATGATTGTCTGCTTGTACCCAGGTCCCCTTCCAGACATATTTAGCTTCTGTTTACCCCAGGGTTAAGGGTGCCAAGCTTCTTTCTTATTAGGACGTCTTGATGAAATTACTTGAAAATTGAATTTTGTCACGTGTACCTTGGATAATGGTGCCAGTCAAAGTCACGTTGATGTCATTGCCTCATGTGTCCTCCATTTTTATTCCTTGAGCACAAGCCCATATGTTTCGGCAAACCAAAGTACCTTTGTTGCCTTTTCCCTATGAAATAATGTGTTGCTTTTTAATCATAAATGTAATCATGTTTATAACAGGAAGGTTTATTAATACAGTGTTGCTGATAGCTCAGGGCTAGTTTGTGTGTACTTTGCTTTTCTTAGTTTCACCAGTTCAGTGTAAGTAATTATATGTAAAGGATCGGAAAAAGAGGAAACAAAACAAATATGACTGGGTTGGCGGTTGGTTGGGTTAGTTCAATTTGACCAGTTCATTAGGACTTGAAACTCCCCTGCTACTTTAACAATTTTGATTGTGATACCTAATTTGTTTGAGACAGCGTTGTTGCTGTCGTTGTCCTACATCCTCAGACTTTTTTCCTAAATGTTGCTCACATTTCAGCTGGAGCATGGCATGGTAAAGTTGTGATGCTTTTTCTGAAATGTCAAAGATGATCAGAATACTTGTATTAGTGGAGTCCAATACTCCTTTTACATGATTTACAATTTTATCATTTATTATTAATTGATTCAAGATACAGAGGAGGCACTGCAGAAATAATTACATAAAATCTCAATTNAAGCAACAACAACAATGACACAGGCAAGTAAAATACGGGGAAAAAGCCAACAAAAAACTGCAGACAAATGCAAATAGCAAATTTTACCAACAATAAAAAAACAGAATAAAACAACCAACAGCAGTAAATTTTCAAAGCAGTAAAGGCCAGCAATTACTTTGATCAAAACAGAGGGGCACCAGATTAACCAGCAAACCTTAGAAACAAGCAGTAAAGTCTGCAAAATTTACCCCAGACAGTCAAGAAGCCAAGAAACCACACGCGATTCAACACAGTATCTTCACATTCAAAAGGATTGATGAGCAAAATGGCTCGTTACATCAACACAAATCAACTATCGTATCAAACCTCTGTTATTAATGAATTAAACCTCCTCTTCTGAGGAGATTTGGTTGGCAATTTAACGAGAAAATGGCTGACGTTTAGGGTGGATTTGTCTAGTTCCGAGTTCAAAATGGCGCCCACGCCACTGACCCGAAGTGGATTAGAGTAGAATTTAACACAAACGTGCGGACAAAACAAACACAGCTTTTACAAATATAAGCAACAAAGCTTGCACACTTACGACAAATTGTTTTACCAATGCTGAACAAAAGCCTGTACTAGCCCTTTCTTTGTTTAACTTCTATGGCTTCTCCACGCTAAACCGATCAAGCGACGCGAAGCTCTGACTCGTTGCTATATGATGTCACACTGTCATGATGACTCGGTCACAGACAAATACCCGAAAACAATAGAGACTCCTCCTCCCTCATGTCAAAGATCAAAGAGTTAAGCGAAATAAATACCTTGTCCACTGAACATTTTTAGGCTGCCATGTCTTCTGAGCATGTGGTGGATTAGATCTGAGGTATGTGGTGGATTAGTATGTGCACGTTCGGTGTGATGATGATTCTCTGCTTGTACCCAGGTCCCCTTCCAGACATATTTAGCTTCTGTTTACCCCAAGGTTAAGGGTGCCAAGCTTCTTTCTTATTAGGACGTCTTGATGAAATTACTTGAAAATTGAATTTTGTCACATGTACCTTGGATAATGGTGCCAGTCAAAGTCACGTTGATGTCATTGCCTCATGTGTCCTCCATTTTTATTCCTTGAGCACAAGCCCATATGTTTCGGCAAACCAAAGTACCTTCGTTGCCTTTTCCCTATGAAATAATGTGTTGTTTTTTAATCATAAATGTGATTATGTTTATAACAGGAAGGTTTATTAATACGGTGTTGCTGATAGCTCAGGGCTAGTTTGTGTGTACTTTGCTTTTCTTAGTTTCACCAGTTCAGTGCAAGTAATTATATGTAAAGGATCGGAAAAAGAGGAAACAAAACAAATATGACTGACTGGGTTGGCGGTTGGTTGGGTTAGTTCAATTTGATCAGTTCATTAGGACTTGAAACTCCCCTGCTACTTTAACAATTTTGATTGTGATACCTAATTTCTTTGAGACAGCGTTGTTGCTGTCGTTGTCCTACATCCTCAGACTTTTTTCCTAAATGTTGCTCACATTTCAGCTGGAACATGGCATGGTAAAGTTGTGATGCTTTTTCTGAAATGTCAAAGATGATCAGAATACTTGTATTAGTGGAGTCCAATACTCCTTTTACATGATTTACAATTTTATCATTTATTATTAATTGATTCAAGATACAGAGGGGGCACTGCAGAAATATTTATATTAAATCTCAATTTCTTGTTTGTGTGCAACAGAGTAAAGGCTTCTGTGTATTACAGTGCATCAGTTCTATTCTCGGTTTTCGCTGTCACACCATCAAAAATAAAAAAATAAAAAATAAAACTATTCAATGAATAAAGTTGAGAATCTAAGGGATTAAAGAGGACACACATGTACACATTCTTGCAAAATGTTAGGTCTGTGCGGTTCTTTGCACGCGAGATATTCGACGAAATGTTGTACCCAAATTTATAGAGCTTTGTATGGAGACGCCATGTTGGTGTTCCTCCGAGGGGTACAAACATGGCGGCCAGAAAAAGGATAAGATATAAAAAAGTTTGATATTAAGAAACAAAAATATCAAAACTTCTTTAAATAAATTAAAAAAAGAAACTAAATTAAACAAATGTTTTATTGGGAAGGGGAGGTTATGGAAGGTTTTCCAGAGACTTTAATTTGGCGAAATCATGCTAGGAAAAGAAATATTGTCTTATCTAGATATGTTATAGAAGTGTGTATGGAATACAATTTCCAACACCATTAGAAAAAGTTACTGTCATATTATTATTAAAGTGAATAAGAATTAAAGGAAAACACTTAGCAAACAAACTCTTGTATTGTATATATTTTGTTCGTCTTTTGGGCCGTATACGCGAAGACGTCATATATGCGATAACGTCACCAGAATCCTTTAGGGTTTTGCTCTTAGACACAGAGAAAAGGAACGAAATCAATGATTTATGGTAGTAAATGCCTTTTTTGTTACTTGTTTTCATAATATTAAAACGTAGGGGTACATTTCTTTGAGATGATCCGGATAAGGATCAGTGATCCGAGATAATGGTAGATTAGCCTGCATAGCTGGCGGGATTAGCGTGGAAGTGCTGAAATTCGAGGCTGAATTGTGAACATTTAAAAATAAAATAAGAATAAAGCCCCGGCTCAGACTCTGAAAAGGATATCATTTGGGGGGTTGAAATATGTCAAAACAATACCAATAATATGCTTTTAACTTAAATAATCCTTTCTCTAAATGGCAAAACTAGTCAACAAAACGAAAAAAACCTGCACAAACTATAATTCATACCCCAATATATTCTAAACGATAAATGTAATAAACTATACTTTAAGAATAATACAAGAATAAATGTAAAAATGAATAAATGTAGTAACGAGTTGATTAATGTAATAAGCTATAATTTAAGAATAATACAAGAATATTTTCAGCCTAAAAGCAGCAGAAAAATAGTAATTTTCAGCCTGGGCAGAGAAAACAACATTATAAGTATAAGTTAAATGTCAATTGCCAGGTCTTGTCAAAGCCTCATTTTTTTTCTTGCGGCTGCTTTAGTTTGCCAGCAAACTGTAAGGCATTTTTTGTTCTTATGGGAAATTCTGCCTCTTGACAATGTTGGGACTCGGCTACATGGTTATAAAGTCGAGGTATGTTCTCTAGGCTGGGAGAAACCAAGGTGGAGACCACGAACGCCGTAACAGTTAGCAACAAGGATTGCTCAAATGCAGTCCATATCTTAGAAACTGGCTCGAGGTTTCGTGAAATTAAGTAGTCGGCACTTCGAACTCTCTTATAATGAAATGTTCCGGTCCTTTTGCGCTTTCTATTTATCTCTGAAGGAGGTGAAATATCATCCACATTTGGTGGAATTTTGGCAGCAATAGGATTTGCACAATTTTTGCAGTGACATGTTGCTTTACAAGGCCTACCCAATTTGAGGCAAGGACATTTGGATTTTCTTTGTCCGTCGTTACAAGCGACAAAGTTAGCATCATATTTTACTTTATCCTCTCCGCACCTGCATGACGTATTACTTGTACAGAAAAGATCCTCACTTGGATTTTGAGATTCTTCTGTCTCGAGGTAAATGAGCGTTTTGCTCTTGCATCCTTTGCACCGACAAAACCTTGTACAAGCAATTTCCTGTTTTAAGCATGGACAAGGACTCCCAGGATAACAAAACACTTTTCCGTGAAAAATGACATCAACTCATCAAACAGTCCAAGCGATCTTCCTCCTCCATCAGCAAGAATTTCACCAAATTTATCCCACGTGCAATGGGGTAAAACCATAGGCTTTGCAGACACACCACGCAGAATCACCCTGTCTGCGACAAGCTCGAGAATTTCCACCAGTTGTTCGTGAAAGGCAGATTTGCAGCGCCCTTTAAAGAAGAATAGAATTGTTGGTTATTTTTAATTCCGATGTCAGTCAGTTGGGTACCTAAAGATTAATGTAAAAGAAACCTTGATGAGTCATCTATTTTTTTTATGGTCTGATACAAAGAGGACAATACCATTAACTTAATCAATTCAGTGTTCAAATTTATACATAAGTAGTAATACTGGCTACCTTATCACACAGCCAATCAGAATCGCGTATTTCAAACACGTGATCGCTCTCGACCAATCAGAAGGCTAAATTTAATTACCCCAGAAAAGTTGCGTCATACCAAGGGGTAAAGTCCCCCAACACTCCCCCTTCATGTAATAGCACACCAAATGTCACTTTTCAACTCATTTTATTCTGACGTCATTCCTTATTTTACAAGCGGGACGTGTGTGACCTCCTAGTGACGTCACGCCCTTTAAAATATTCATTTATCGTATAGGCCTTAAAAAATTATCAAGAATGGGATGCCTTCCTAGTGCGTGACAGCGTTGAATGAATTCACGTTTGGTGGACCATTTGCTCCATCCTTTTCCGGTAGAACACCAACATAATTTTACCAGAGAAGGGCAGTATACGTGACACATGTGTATCCTAATGCTGAATCTCATTGCTAAAAAGAAAACGTTCTAAAAATAGGTCACGAAGTTCAACGATTCGTTTTAGATAAGGTCTGGGGTTGTGGTTTCTCCAACCTGTTCAATGACAACTGGAACACCAACAGAGTTTAACAAGGGAGGGTAAATGATCGTGGCATTCGTGAAGCGTTATGCCCAAGACTAATTCTGAAAAAAAAAATCAATTGGTCACAAAAATCATGAATTCATCCAACCAGTTGTCATTCAGAATTCTGCAAAGCAAATTGCAATTTGATCAATGGCCAGCTGGTTTCGCCTAGCAACTGATGATTGGTGTGTTTACATTGATTGAACAGGAAATCTGAAAAACAATCATGGCAAGCCGAAAAATCGTAAATAATTTGACTGTCGCACTTCATCAGCTATTTGTGCACAGCGTTCTAAATAAGGTTTTAGGGAAACATTGTACATTCTCTGTCCTTTACTTCCATATTTACACCAGCACAACTTTACAAGCGAAGGTCGATAAGTGTGGCTCCCATGAACGTTTACGGCAAATAATAAAATGTATGTTGTGGAAAAAAATTTAATAAAGATGAAAAAGGTAATAAGGGTTGTATGTCCAGTGTTTGTGCCATTTGGAACCGAAATTAACTAAATGTCTTTGTCTTGGCCAACCTAAATAGTGACTTTGACCTGTGACTGTCCATGGAATCGAGCACCACCAATCTCCCTCATTGACTAGACGAAAGAAGCCGTCTGATCATGGTACCATGTGAAACATAAAAAAACGTACATTTTGATATCTATTGAAAGGGGGTACTTTTTAATACTCGCCAGTGAAATATGCCATCAAGGATTACTACAAAACAAAAAACATTTTAAGTCTTAAGAGTCGGCCCTAAAAATTACAGATACACAATGACGACCTTTCCCAGCCCACTATTCTTGTAAAAGTAAAAAACTATAAATTCTTCTTCTAACAAGAGAGGTGAAGTAAATTTCCTAAACCGAACTAATTTTTCGGGTTCCAGAGGAGTACTTTTCAAAACCTTCCATTCATTTATGTGTTTAAGCATGACCACGATAAAAGTAATACAGGGTTTCTTATGTGAACAAGATGACTATTCGGTAACAAAAGGCTAAATTATGTCTTCAAGCAAGCCTACGAGAAAAGTAATACAGGGTTTCTTATGTGAACAAGATGACTATTCGGTAACAAAAGGCTAAATATTCTTTCCCGCGGCCAATTTCGAAAGATGAAGTAATGGCTTAACACATAATGTGTTGCTAAAAGAAAAAAGTAGGGATAATCATTAATCGTCCAGCCGTGTAATCCATACATGGTTTTTTCGATGGAGTAAGCAAGATTGACACCCTTGAGAGGTATACACCAATTGCCAGGTATTACAACAGAAAGTTTTCGTTTATACGAGGGAAAATCGTCATCACACGGCCAACTTCTAAATACAGTATAATGCGTTAACACGGGAATGGATTCTAAAAGAAAAAAATGGTCTCTTAATCAAATATACACCAGTTGCCTGGATTGACAAAAGCTATTTTTCCTTTGATCGGACAAGAATAAAATAAAAAGTAATGCGATACAATATGGTAGGTGTTTAGAAAAAAGAAAAAGGTAATTTTTTAATCCTCTAATACAAAATCGACAAAGTCTTCAAACCAATAAATGTCACATCCCCCACAGAGTTGACAGGCAAATTTAACGGGTCTCACGTGGATTTGACAGTCTTGACATTTTAACCATAATGTGCCATCACTGCGGCTATAATCAATTATATTGTGAGCTAAAACAAGGTGGGAGTCTGCAAAATTAAAAATACGAGTACGCCCTTCTGTTGTCGTTTTCTTGAACAAAACATTCAATGATATGAAAGGTATCTACAAAAGAGTCCGTAATAAAAGTAACATGAGGAGCGTAAAACACAAAATGGTCTGGTCTTCTGGGTTGAACAAGTTCCTTTCTTTTCACAAAGACTTTCATGGATACTGCAAAATTAAAGTTCCAGACCCAAGTTTATTAACATCTCGCATCCCTTGCAGGGAGTTTCCATGTCAAAAATAGATCGCACATGTGCGTAACAGATACAACAGCGTAAGCGAATGGTTTCAATGCTGTTTTTAACCTTGTACCAGGGGTAAGGAGCAATGAATCGTTTATGAAAGCGGTATTGAACGCAAATGTCAAGTGAGCCTGAAAAAATTAAAAAAGGAAACTTAACGGTTATACCAAAAACAGGTTCCATATTCACGCAGACTAGATAGTCTGTGCGTAATGGTAATGTTACATCGTCTACATCTTAAATGAAGCATTCGCACGGGATAAACTGGAGGAAAAGTATGAATAACCCAGGTATTGAGTAAAGCCATTGTACCTGGAAAAAAAAAATTCAAGTCTTAGTCCCAGTAAGGGTCCAGCATTATACTTCCTTCATGTAATGGTTTAAACAGCATTTTACATCCTACGGTTAAATAGCCGTCGCACCAATAACAGCCCAGGTATTTACGGGT